AAAGTGTGGTTTTGCAAGGGTAATAGTGTAGGCATGTGACAACTACCAATAGTAATGCATGCTGAAACATGATGACAATGGTGCAAGGAATCGTGCAAGTGTTGTCTTACAAGATTCTTGGTCATTGTTATGTAGAGAATATTGCAGTCATTGAATGATAGAGTGTAGTCTTGTTATGCATGTGAAGCCATTGTATATGAAATATAATTTGTTGATAGAGTGTAGTGTTGTCATGTATGCAGCGAATAATGTAGTCTTAAAAGTGTAGTTTTGAAAGTGTAGTCCTACAAGACTGTTAATGCTTTTTGAAATGTGATGAACTTTATGCAAGGAAGCATACAAGTGTTGTCTTACAAGATTTTGGTCATACATAGTGTAGTATTGTCATGCAGAGAGTCACATGAGTCATGCAAGACAATGAATAGTGTGTTTGTAAAACTCTTGTGTTGAATTTTATTTAGTGCAATACACGAATACAAATGAACTTTAATTTATTTTGTGTTGAGTTTTGTAAATAACTATTAAAGATATGATCACATATTTATCTACTCATTTAATTTCATAACTTTTTTACAACTAAAAATTGTTTTGTAATTTATTTTGTGTTGTGTTTTGTAAATAAACTTTTTTCAAAACAATATGACATGGACATCTTTTAGCAAGGAAGTGTGTAAAACAATATCCTGCAAGACTAATAGATTAGGCATGTGTAAAATAATATCCTGCAAGACTAATAGTGTAGGCATGCAGAGTGTAGTCTTGTCGTGCAAAGAATCTTGTAGGCATGCAGGACTATATGGTAGTGCACATGCATGTGATAATGAATAGTGTTGTAATACATGTGTTAGTCCATGTGATAATAATAAATGATAATAGGTAAAGGTCATAATAATAAATGATAATAGGTAATAAGTCATAATTACTGAAATAATAAAATCAGAACAAGACATGTGATGAGATAAGACAATTGCATAGAAGACGAAGTACAATGATAATTAATAAAAAAACAATACTAGTACCCAACTATATGTCTATTAATACAATATAGACATATGTTTTATTACCATATCATTTAGTAACATATCCTTTCAAACATTAAAATTTGTAAAACAATCATTTCAAACACGAGTTTAGTAACATATTTGTTATAGCTTAAACACCACAATACATGATCAATGCACATTTAAACGGTGAGATTTTTTCATGTAACATAACCGGTTTCAATTTTTGAAATACGGAAGTTACTAGGTTTTTTATTGACAAAAGATCAAATTTTTTACATTTGAAAGCAAGATTAGAAAAGAAATTAGAGTATGGTCCAGTTGGCCAAATAATCTATAAGAATCTTGTGTTTTTTGGCGGACACGAGCAATGCAAATTTTTTCAGTTAAAGATTCGAGACGATGAAGATGTGCGTAACATGTTTCTTAGTCATGAGTAATCTGGTTTCTCAGATATTGAGCTATATATAACGGTACAACAATAAAAATTGTCTCAACAACTTGATTTTTCTCAAGATTTTTACGAATCTGATGACGACCAAGCTGAAATAGATGCCATTGACGAAGAAGAAGAAGAAGCTGAAGTCATTATTGATGACATGGTAAACAACGAGGAAGACATATTACTAGTCAGTCATGTTTATTGTCCACCTCAACACATGACAAGTCTCAACTTAGATGACGATGAACCATCAACAAATATTTTTACAATTCATACTTGCCAACAAAAGGAGTATTAAAAGAGGGAGACAATTTTCGTACAAAAGCAGATTGTTTCCGAGCTATAAGACAATATCACATGGACTTATCAGCATATTATAGAGTCGATCGAACAAATCTGACTCTGTATAAGATCTATTGTTGTAACGAGGTGTGCTCGCTTCGATTAACAACGTCTTTTCGGAAGAGAAGTGATTCATGGAAGATATGGTCAATGGGTCAAGAGCACACTTATATAATCATGAATCCAATGCAAGACCATCACAAACTCAACTCTCACTTGATTTGTAATGAAATTCTGTAGGTTATTAGCGACAACCCTTCTTTGAAGGTGAGTACCATAATCTCGCATATGGTTCAAAGATACAATTATAATCCTTCATACATGAAAACATGGATAGCTAGGACCAAGACGGTTGAAATGGTGTTCAGAAATTAAGAGGAGTCTTACAAAGAACTTCCAAAATACTTGGTGGCACTTAAACAATATTCTCCAGGGACTATTGCCATCTTGGAGACATTGTCGGTGTATACACCAGACGGGACTTGTGTTAGTGGAAATGGCATTTTCCACAGACTCTTATGGGCGTTTGAACCATGTATCAAAGACTTTGCTTACTGTAAACCTATTATTCAAATTGATGGCACATGGATGTACGGGAAATATAAGGGCACGCTACTCATGGCTGTGACACAGGATGGGAACAACAACATTTTTCTAATAGCATTCGCTCTAGCTGAAGGGGAGACTGTTGAGGGTTGGAGTTTTTTCCTAAAAAATCTCCGCTTATACGTTTCTCCCCAACCTAACTTATGTTTGATCTCAGATAGACACCCATCAATCGAGAGTGCATACAAGAATCTTGATAATGGTTGGCATAATCCTTCCTCAAACCATGTGTATTGCATAAGACACATCGCCCAAAATTTCATGCGGGAAATAAAAAACAAAACTCTAAGGAAGAAGGTTGTGAACACAGGGTATCCACTAACAGAGCCCACATTCAAACACTGCCGTGGCGAGATCAGACTAACAAATGCATATGCATTAAAATGGATTGATAATATTCATAAAGAGAAATGGACAAGGGCATACGATAATGGGGTGCAATGGGACCACATGACAACTAACCTCGTTGAATCAATGAATTCTATATTCAAGGGAATCCGAAACCTATCGATAACTACCTTGGTAAAGGCAAAATATTTTAGGCTCGGGGCACTCTTTGATAACATACGTATAAAGTGGGGTTCAGTATTACAATCTGGGCAGCTGTACAGTAATAGTTCAATGAAATTCATGAAAGACGAAGCTGCCAAAGCCAACACACACGTGGTCACAATCTTTGATTGTAATAAAGGTTGGTTCAGTGTTACAGAGTTAATTGATCACAATGAAGGGAGGCCTAAGGGATGTTACCGAGTGAGATTGGATAGGAGTTGGTGTGACTGTGGAAAGTTTCAGGCATTTCATATGCCTTGCTCCCATGTTATAGCAACATGTTCGAAGGCTCGCCAGGACCCAACCAATCATTTTTTTGTTGTTCACCAAGTCATAAGTCTATGCAATGTCTACGCCACTAGCTTTCAGGTGGTGGCAAATGAGGACTATTGGCCTCCATACGAAGGCGAAATTGTCTGGCATAATGATTTAATGCGAAGAAAAAAAAAGGGTCACCCTAATAGCACGCGTATTCGAACAGAGATGGATACATCAAACAAAATGGTCAGATTATGTAGTTTGTGCCGGCAGCCAGGACACAATCGTACAAAATATCCCAATGTAGGATCAAACACAAGATCATATTTTCTAATGTAACTGTGTCTCTTTAAATCAACAACAAATTCCATTCCATTGATAGCATACATAAGCGATTACAATTAACAACAACATAACTTAAACAAACATAACTTAATACCAAAATAACAATCTGAAAACAACAACAACATAACTTAATATCAAAATAACAATCTGAAAATAACAACAACAAACTCAAATAAAACAACTCAATGCATTAACTTGTCTAGGATATTACAACCATCAAGATGATTTTCTTTGGTGTTAACATCATCATAAGTACACCAACATCGTGTCCACTTTTCTCCAATCACGAGTAACTTCATTTCTCCCTGATTCCTCAACTAGCCTCTCAATTTTCCTGATCTTTTCACCTACAACAATATCTCCTTCTAGCCAGCGGTTCAGTTCCCTATGCAAATGCTCTAACGTTTGCGTGTTCTACATTACGACCTTCATCAGAGGCTTTGTTTGAAAAATAAACTAGGATATTTCTTTTCATTAGAGGAAATGTTGGAAGCAGTTCCTCCGATGATGATGACGATGATGAATGTTGATTTAGAAATGCAGACATTCTAGATTAATTTGAAAATTATGAAGAGTTGAGGCTATTGGTGATAATTATTGTGAAATAACATATGAATGTGCAATCTTATTTATAGAAAAATAAAATAGTATGGTCCGCATATGATATGGCGTATCTACCCTTTAAAAACACATGATAAAAAAAACACAAAACACATGATTAAAATAAAAAGGAATGTACTGAGGCGCCATACCATACGACGCCTCCTTTGGAAACTAGGGTTTAGGGCAAAAGGGTGGCGACATACCATATGGTGACTTGGTTTTAGGGCAAAAGGGTGGTGACATACCATATGATAACTTGGTTTTAGGGCAAAAGGGTGGCGTCGTACCATATGGCGACTTGGTTTAGGCTTTCATGCATGAGTCATTTTATATGGCGCATGCATGTTGAAAGATTTTGAGAATTATTTGAATTCCTTGTTATATATGTAATTTTAAATTAAAAAACATGTTATTTGAAAAAAAAATCATTAAATGTAACTAACCTAATTAATTATACAATTTAATTAGTAATAAATTCTAATAATTTTAATATGAGTATTAATTATAAAAAGAGTATAAAACAAACAAAAACATTTAATATATTTTGAATAGGATTCACTTTATGCAAAACGCCCTACTACTATCTCTCTCTCTCTATATCTGTGATATATTTTTGAAGTAAAAAGCAGAAACGCTTTCTCATATATTACGACGTTTCTTTCCTTTTCTTTCATAATTTTCAAATAATTCCCTTTAGGTTTCTGCTCTGATATTTCCTCAAATACGCATAAAACAGAATCAGAGTTCTGCGCCCTCTCTGCTTTTGCTTCACACCGCTCCAAACCACACTCTTTTTTCTTCTCTCTTTTGATTTCTTTTGTGTAACTCTTTCAACACTAAGTTTTTCTCCAATGGAGTTCAAATTTCGTGCCGTCGATTATGTCAAACCACCGTCAACCACGTCGCATTCTCTTTCCCCGCTCACATACCTCCCTCCTGATCGATCACTACAATGTAAGTAAATCGAAAACCCTCTTTTGCTTCAACAGCACGCTTTTAAACCTAGAAAATTTATTTATTTTTTCTATATATGATATTTACAGTTGCTGTTGTTTTTCAGTGGACGGAAGTTTTTCTGGCTTGCGAATGCCGTTATCCGGTGAGGCGGCGCTGAGACGGGAGCTTGAGAAGGAGCAGATCCGGTGGGAGATTTTGAGGCGGAGAGAGTTGGAGGAGGAAGTGAGAAGGGAACTTGCAATGGAGAGAGAATTGGGGATTTCAATACAGAGGCCCCTGATGAATATGCAGGGACTAATGCCTCATTGGTCCAGCTCAACTGTGATGAACCCTGTTTCTCTGGCTCATTTCGGTGCGTCGCAACCACAGTCGATTTTCCCCCCTGCCGAAATCAACCCTTCTCCGGAGATCAGTGACAAGGGCAAAGTTATAGTGCTGGTCAGTTTTTTTTTTTTTTTTTTCTTTCTTAAAACTTTTCCATTCTCTTAGCATCATTATATTTCTGCATCTTCATGGTAAACTCCTTTGATTTGAATGAATATTGTTACAAGCAAGAGTTGTTAAGAACCAACATATTGTTCATTGTTATATTAGTTGATTCATTGGTTGTTTTGTTGAATAACACTGTTCCATTGACAATCGCTGCAGTTCACACACTTGTTTAATGCAGTTTAATAACGGATTAACCAGTATATCTAGATTAGATAAGTTATTAATCATAAACTGAACTTAATTGTCTACAAATCTAGACATTATTAACTACGAATGCAAGTGTTCTACTTCTAGCTATAGATAAGTTTGAACACTTAAAAATCATGGTTAATCACGTTTAAATTTTTAGTTAATAAAGTTCCGTAAATGATTAATTAGTTATAAATCTTAATGTACTTGTTAATCCAAGGGCAAAATTATAGTGTTGGTCAGTCTCATAACCTTTTCCCTTTCAGTATGTTTTGGCACCCACATGTTTAATGAAATTTAATAATGGTTTACGAGTATATTAAGATTAGATAAGTTATCAATCATAAACAGAACTTGATTAACTTCAAATCTAGATATTATTAACTACGATTGCAAGTGTTCTGTAAATTTGAACACTTAAAATCAAGGTTAATCACATTTAAATTTTTAGTTAACAAAGTTCTGTAAATGATTAATGAGTTACAATGCTTGATATATTTATTAACCCAATTTGACACTTCATCAATTTACTAAACTGTTTTAACCATCTATAAAACTGTCAAATTTTTGTCACAGATTGATGTCAAATAACCTTTGTTTTTTTGATAGCATAGGTTTAAAATGTCACTTTAGGGTATATCCAATGGAAGTGTGATGATTGTCGGAATATATGTATTTATCAACACAATTGAATTGACGTTTTATTTGAGAATCTCGATGCAGGCTAAGCCAGATCCCGAACTCTTCAATGCCAAGCGAAAAGCAACGACACCTCCTGTTTCTAAAAATGAACCTCTTGCATTTAGTTTGAAGAAAAAATCGAAGGAGGAGTGGAGTTGTGCACTCTGTGAAGTTAAAGCTACAAGTGAGAGTGGTTTGAATGCTCATTTGAACGGTAAGAAGCACAAGGCCAGAGAAGCGGCACAGAGGAGGAAGATTGCCAGGAGAAACAAAAAAAGTAGGAAAAATGTGAAGGCTACTCAAACTGTTGTTGCTACCACAGAGTTAGGTGCTGATGCAGTAAAAGATCAACAACTTCTTCAACCTTGCACAGCCTTGGAAGTCATGAATGAAACCGTTATTGACAAGGGTGTTGAAGAAAGTAAAAAAGAGGAGCAGCTTGTGAAGACCGTGACTGATAATGAAAATATAACCCAATCTAAAAATGAGGAGCAACTTGGGGAAACAGTGGATGATAATGGTGGAAGTGTAATAAAATCCACAAATGAGGATAAGCTGGTGGAGATGATGATCAGTAATGATGTCATAAAATTTGAAAATGGGAGGCTGCTTGTGGAGAAAAGCCAGAATGTAGGCTCTTTGGAGAATAAAAAAGATGCTGCAATCGACGAAGTGAAGAAGATAAATGCAACAGAATCAGAAAATGAGACGTTTGTGGCGACGACGGTTGGTAAAAATGAATCTGAGTCTAAAATTGAGGAGCAACTTGTGGAGACAGTGGCCGATAATGGTGTAAGTGTGATAAAATCCACAGATGGGAATAAGCTTGTGGAGAAGAAGATGGTCGATAATGATGTAATAAATTTTGAAAATGGGAGGCTGCTTGTGGAGAAAAGCCAAAGTGTAGGCTCTTTGGAGAGTAAAAAAGATGCTGCAATGGAGGAAGGAAAGAAGATAAGTGCATTAACAAAAAGGAGAAAGGTTGAACCTTTGTGGTGTGAGATTTGTCAAATTAGCACTTTCTCAAAATCTGTGATGGAAGGTCATGTGAAAGGGAAAAAACACATAAAGAGAATGAAGAAGTTTGGACAAAACAATGTAAGTCCCCCATCCACACTCTTTGTATCACAAAAACCTTCTAGGTTGATCAAAGATGCTTAACCTGTCAACAAAGAAAGAGGCTAACGATACTAAAGAAAGAAGTGCTGTTTTGAACTTACGAAGGAGTTAGTAGATATACAAAAGTGTTATATCGATTTCTTGCAAACATTATTAATGTGTTTTATTTTCGATGTAATTTAATGATGAGAATTACCTCTGGAACTCTTTTGACTTGGTGTGTCTGAGCTTGTTATGCTACATCTCTTAATAGATATCATATTCTGACAATCCACATATATGCATATCCATTACTTGCCTGTCCATAGATAACTACCTCTATGCAGTGCAGCTTAGGCGTGGTTTGACTCTATCCCAATTGCACATGCTCATTAGTTTACTCTAATGTGAAAGCATTATTAATAGATGCTAAGGAAAATGAGTATTGAAGTGAATCATATATTGGAGTAAACTTCAAACTTCTTTTAGTTGCAGTATTATACCATGTTAATGCTCCAAAATGTTCATATTCTTTTCTTCTACCATAAAGATGAGTTATCAGACACTGTCAATTTTTTGCTACTAATGAAGAAAGTAACTCCAATGGATGTTTTATTTTGTAGGAATAAGCTTGTAATGCGCTTGCTTATCTAGGCCATTTTTTGATACAAAAAATAAAACCAACGTTCAAATGTATGTAACACTGGCTTGAGGAGCCATGAAGCCACCTGCGGAAAGGGGTGGTCATCACGGATGACAATTAAATCCACATTTCCATGGATGCATATAAAAATGATCAGGAAAGCCTATAGCGTTAGCCATCAAAACGTCAAATGGTGAAACTCATGTCTAAAATATTCTTTTATTTTTTGTCAATAATTTTTATAATATAATAAAGTGGGATTCTACTATGTCCATAATATAGACTTTTTTAAAATAAGTATATATTGAAATTGAATTGGGCTCATAATCTTAGATTTGGGATAAAATATATTACGGAATTAATTTAAGAGAATTTCTTAATACATCCTAGATTTTTCTATTGCATCACGTGGATTTTTTCAAATATTTTCTGTTTTTAAAGATATATTTTCGAACGCATATCTTGTATATTTAACAAAGATCGTCTTGAGAGACGCCCATTATTTTGAGTTATTTTTATGAATTTATCACCCAAATAACCTACATTCCACCCCTATAATTCCATTTTACCCAACATTCTATCATATATACCAATCTACTAACTTTGATGTTTTTTTTTTAAAAAAATTATAAGGGGGCGTCATTGGTGTTGGAGCCACCCTTATAAATTATAGGGGGGCGCCATCCCCTTTGGAGGCACCCTATAATTTATAAGGGGGACGTCATCCCCTTTGGAACCTCCCTTAAACGAATTTTTAAAATAGTTTTAAATATATAATAAATTTAAAAATATTTAATAAATAATAATTAACAATTAAAAAATATTTAATAAATAATAATTTTATAAATAAATTTTTTTAAATAATTTTTAAATACTTTTATAATAAATAAATAAATAATAAATAATATTTTCATTAATAATTTCTAAATAATAAATAAAAAATAAATTGTATTTAATAAACTTAATATTAAAAAATAATTACAATTTTCATTTAATCACAAATGGGTACATATGAGTGATATGTCACACTAATTTCTACGACTAGGTCGGCTTAAATGTCCGCCCGTACCGCATCCTCGATTACGTATGTTTCTTGGTCGTCTTTGTGGTGGAGTCGGGTCGACCGTGTCGTCTTCAAGAAATTGCATCACTTCGGCCCATGTAGACGATTCCATCTCCGTAAAGTCATCCAAATCAAAAGGGTTGCCCATGCCTTCATAATTATTTTGGGGTGGTTGGCTGGATGAGGCAATGTCAGGACGATAGCCTGCCTGGTCGTAGGGTGACATAGGTGTAAATGTTTGGGCGGGTAAGGGTTGATTTGGTGTTTGAAACTGGGTGTTTATTTGGTTTGTAATATCCATGGAGTATGTTGGTATTGTGGTTGATATTGTTGGTATTCGGACTGTGAATAAGTTTGTGTGAATGAGGTGAATTGGTTAGGAGTATGTTCATATAGTTGTGATTGTGTGAGTGGGGGTTGGGTTGGCGGTTGGAAATGGGGTTGAGTTGGTGGTTGGAAATGGGGTTGGGTTGGTTGTTGGGGTCTTGATGTTGAACCTTGTTGGCGTGGGTCAACAAGATATCTTAGATGCGAAATGAAACCAATGGATACCTCCCTATACCAATTCATGTATTGGATAGTCTGTTTTCTCTCGTATGGAAACACAGTGTCAGACAAAACAAAATGGCTGTGATGCCTCCATTCACGACACTCATGTTTTGCATACTTGGTCCATGGAAAATATTCCCATTGGTCGGAGACTTTACCGGTGTGATATTTGTCGGGGATGCATTTCGGCGGACATGGAATATCTTGAAGCATTCCAAACTGAAGCTTTACACGACCACTGTTGTGCATCTCCACGGTGGTGAAGTTGATAATCGGCACCTTTGCACTCCACACTGTAGAGTCGTGTTGGTTAACTTCATGAATGGCTTATAGACCAAGATATGGCCGCCAAATAAACTGTAGGAGAAAAAAAATATATATAGTATTTTCTAATAATATTTAAGGAGACTATATTCTAAATAGGTAGGTTAAGGATACTATTTTCTAATAATATTTAAGGAGACTATATTCTAAATAGGTAGGTTAAGAATACTATATTCTAAATAGGTAGGTTAAGAATACTATATTCTAATAATATTTAGTACTTATATCATCTTGTCCCAAATGATCTATAAGATTTCTGTATTGGGTGATACTGAAATGGGGACAGTTGTCGTAATTCATCCCAAGTGAAGACCACCTACAAATCGAAAAGAAAACATTTGTTAGTAATAGGATAAATTAAGTAAAAGACTATGAAAGATTGATCATTCTTGGTCTAAGTAATTACCTTGTAGCGTATGGGAATTCAAAATTATTTTGTTGGATAGGTGTTAGATTGGTCATCCTTGACCATCCCCAAGCTTGAAGAAGAACACCACATCCGGTAAAATTTCCCGAATTTACTATTGCGTTGTTACACAAAGACCGATATAGGTGCGCTAGTGTTGCGGACCCCCAACTATATGTTCTTATTTTTATCTATATCATCTAATAAAACTAAATACATAGAGTGGACAGCGTTGCCACTTGTATCGGGACATAAAAATAAACCTATTAATAACATAATATAAATTCTTGTTTTTCTTATTTTCAATATTTCTGGAGAATCTTGGGTTAACCTCATTTCTCCAAAAATTCTTTTGAGCCATGATAATAATATTTTTTGGCCCCTCAAATCTCTTGGGGTTGGTTCAACCCCTAAGAGTTCTTCTATCACACTACCGCTAGGATTGGTGAGACCGTTTACCGTCTTACCATTAATGAGTAAACCCAATAAGATGTGAGTGTCCTCGAGAGTAACTGCACATTCACCTATTGGAAGATGAAATGTATGCGTCTCGGGTTGCCACCTTTATTGCAGTGCCAAAATGAACTTGGTATCTAGGAGATAATTTGTTATTTTGATGACTTCTCCAAATCCTGCGTGCTCCAAAAATGGTTTAATTATCGGGTCATGTGGGAAATGTTTATGCCCACGAGTTCGGAAGTCATGAGTATTCTACAAAACAATAAAACAAATGATTACAACATTGTATTTGTAAAAACATTATAATGCTATAAATCAATACAACATTGTGTATTATCGGGTACAAATACTTACATAAGACGCGATGTTGCTTGGTGTTCCTCTATGCATTTTGCCCAATGTTAACAGAGACATTTCTTATATAGTGTGAATATATGAAGAAAATATTGGTAGAATTTGAATTATGAAATATATTTGATGAGTTTTTGAGAATGAGTAGGAGAAGTATTTATAGTATAAATTTTGAATTTGAATTTTGAATTTTGAATTTTGAATTTATGGTGGTAGAGGTAAAAATTAAATCTGTGTGATTGAAATATTAATTGTTGTAGAGAGAAGTAAATGAGATGGATGAAGTGTGTAGAAAATAATATACCACACTTGTCATTCTGCATGCATGCAAATAACACTTTTCGTACACATGTCACGGGGGAGCCAACCCTCATGGCGCCCCCCTTAAATATTAAGGAAGGGGAGCCAACCCCTATGGCGTCCCCCTTTACGAGTTATGAATATTATATTCATACACTTTTGTTATTTATGGATACATTCAAGAAAAAATTAAACACATCTCATCATTTACAAACACATCTCTTACACTCTTACACTTTTATTCAAATATGTCTAGAACAACAAATTATATTGTTCATTCCCATTTTAATGGAGACACTTACATCTCTGAGGATTCGGGTTTTAGGTTTCAAAATACAGATTTTACCCAATTAACAATGAGCAGAAAATCTAATTTTTTGCATTTCAAAGAGCGAATAGAGTTGAAGATATTGTCTGGTCCAATCTCTCAAATCATATACAGAAGTCCCGTTTTCTTTGACAACAATCAGGTCAAGTATTTTCAAGAGAAAATACAAGATGACAGTGATGTAGATCAAATGTTTGATAGTCATGAACACTATGGGTTCGACTATATCGAGGTTTATCTATTACTCTGCCAGACTCAACATCAAGTTGGTGAAACAACGGATGTAGATGAAGTTGATGTCATGGACGAGGAGGAAGAAGAAACTGAGGCCATGGTTGATCAAATGGTTAATTTGTTCGGGACTGGGGACTACACTGCACTAACTCCGCTTCAAGACATAGATGAGGAGACACTACCATTAAGGCATATGTATTGTCCTCCCCAACACATGACGAACTTGCAATTGAGTGGAGATGATACTTCCTCAGATATTTTCTACAATCCTTCTCAACAAATTGAAGGTGTTTTAAAAGTGGGAAACCAGTACCAAACAAAAGAAGAGTGCATGAAAGCTATAAGAAAGTTTCATATGGATAACTTCGTTGATTTTTACATCAATCAAAACGAATCAAAACGCTAT